CAGCTGATATTTCATTCATTCAAAATTAGATTAGTTATTTCGGAAGCCTCATCAGTCTATAATTTTCAGAAATATGGATGGTCAATGGAATTTATAAATAGAATGCATGATATCTCTTCCTCTCTACCTCTTTTTCTCTCTTTCTCTTTTAAGAAAAACATGATACGCGAGAGCTAAAATGAAAGAAGAAAAGTTCGGAAAAACTTTTAGTTCAAATATTGCAAAGAAAGATAACTAAAAGCTAACTTGAAGTTTAACAAGAAATCAGAGAAAATTAAAAAAATTATGAAAGAAGGTAAACAGCCTATAAAGACGCCAATTATAAAAAAGGTAAGATTAAAGAAATTTCTACATTAAATCTGACTAAAATGTGTACGGTATAAAACACTTGACGTTGTGAATTAATATTATTATGTAAATATCAACGCGTTAAATTTATATGCTTCAGAAATAGCACGCGCAATCAAATTTAATCGAATTTAATCGAATTTAATTTTCTATTCTTGGATTCGTGCCGTTGTGAAAATAAATTCAATTTATTAAAGGCAAAATTGATATTCCAACTGTTCGTTTGTCACGAGGCCAACTTCATCGCGACACGGTTGTCGGCGAGAACGCATCCGAAAATCTCAAAGAATAACAGTTTGGCGCCAAGCAGCGAGATCTCAAGAATGAGAACGTAATCCACAGAGTGGTGCGAGGAGTAATATAGTGCGCGCGGAGTACTCGTACCGACACGGAAGTAATCCGATAATCCCATTAGACGAGCTTCCATAAAATCGTTAATCGTCTCGGTACGCCGCGCCGCCGGCCCGTACGGCTAAACGTGATGCTCTAATCCCTGTTCGGTATTCACATCGGTTTCGAAGCCACATCCGCACTGCGGTGAAATCAACTGTAAGCAGCGCGTTCGCGAAAAGCGCGTCTTGTCATTTTCGCGATTGTGTACCGATAAGTTGGAACGCGGCGCATCAGCTGTTAAGAGTAACATTTCATTTCGCTGAGCGAAGCTTGGAAAAAGGATTCCAAAATTTTCATCACTTCATTTAATTTAAATGAGGCAATTTTTTCCTCGACCTCGATAATTTATCGAATATCCATTTGTTTCTCTAATTTAACATAATTTCCGATATGATAGAACAAAAATCAACCAATTATCGAATACAAATAGAATAAACGCGAATTTCTTCGTATAATCGATTTGAGCGATTTCCTATCGACGAGATTGTCTAATCTATCGAAAACAATAACGAGGAGACTGTTTCTGTTTCTCATTAGCGGCTCTATTAACGGAATGCTCTCGCGCACGATATTAGGACGCAATGTAAATTGGCAGGATTAAATGCATCGGACGATTGCATCAATCTCATTAAACGGTGTGCATAATGTTTGGTAAGAGAGGGAGGAAGAGAACGAGAAAGAAACAGAGATAGAGGGAGAGAGATGAACGACGCGAGCGGTTGGTTAGTAACGATGTTTGGAAATGCTCTGATAATTATCGAATCCCTCGACGTTTGCATCAGGCAAATCGAAAATAATAGAATATTCGAGCGTTCGCTCGAGTGCCGGTTACGATCTCGCGTGACTTTCGTACTCGATCGTTTTCATTGTCGAAAATTTTATTCGTTATTGCGCAACGTGTTGTAAAATATTCATAAGTTTCCCTTCACGTGTGTGTAAATCAAATTTTTTCCTAACTCAATATGACGCAAATATATATGCATTTATTAAAATTTTAAAATTTATCTCTTTGTGAGAGTGTCTGAAATTAAAACGGCGGCATTATAAATTTCTTCAAAAAAATAATAAAGTGCAGTTTATGGACGAATCGTTCCAAAACGATGCAAGTCTTTGGATGTAAATTGCAAGAGAATGGAAAAGTTAGAAAGCGAAATAATGCGCGCATAGCAATGTTTAAATAACAAATTTTTATTCTTTGATATTGCAAGCCTGTTCCGCTTTTTGTTCGCGTTAGCTTCGGTTAATCTGATTATTGCATGCATTCTGTAGCTTTGCGTATAGTGGAAATCATGAAAGCGAATAGAAATATATGGAAAAATAAAAATATAACCACTGAAAAATATTTGTACACTCGGTTATACTCGGTTGCAATATGCATATATATATATATATATATATATATATATATATATATGTGTGTGTGTGTATAAGTGGGATTAATTAAACAACAAATCGCGAGATTTGGAATCTCTGATTTTAGATTTATGTGTGACTATTCATATTCTAACAATGCTCGTGAAAGGAAAATAAACATTTATTGTTTTAACCAAAATATATCGAATAATAAACAATCGGTATCCATTTTATTCCGGTTGATGGCATAAATTGTGCATAAATCTAATTGAGCGCTTCGATATCCGCGCAACAACAAACCCATTAAAATTCTAAAAAAGTTTCCAATTAATACTTTTTTTTGTCATTCTCGGAACAAGCGGAATACGATGAATCTTTGTGCGGTTTTTCGATTATGAAATATTAGATACAGCAGCCTAATTCATTGTCTTTTTTTTTTTTTTCAAACACACACTGAGAAAATATACATATGTTAAAGTTCAAAAAATTTCGACGTTAATTTCAACATTAATCTTTCTTAAGTTTTACAGAAAAAATGAATTAGACTATTACTGTATCGAATTTAATTTTCACCGAATAGTCGCACCCTCCTCCGATACGAGATCTCGTATTATCACTCGCGTCTCCATCGTCAGATCGACGATGGAATCGACTTCGTCGGGATTGTACACGCGTGATTCTTGACCGCGGGGCATCTGGATCAGATCTGATTGCTGTTCACAATGAGCTTATTATCCCCTAAGAAGCTAGAGAAATCTTAACGGCTAGACCCGATCTTAACTACTTCATATTCGCTATATATAATATGTATATGTGTGTACGCTGCGCTCATAGGTACAGTATGGCTCCTAATGTGATAATCGCTAAGTGTTCTAAGTAGCCTAAGTCCTACCTGTCGGTGAAAAATGAGAAACGCGCGTCGCGTCGTTTAATATAATCTTCGCTTACCTGTTAACGAAAGTCTCGATCGATCCTTCTCTTCTGAGAACCCTGAAAACGGAGATAGCGTTGCCCGATGAGAAGCGCGTTGTCCGAGAGAGGATTCTTGAGCGAAGCTTCAATTAACATGCGAGACAATTAATATCGATCCTACATGACGATTCGCTGGAAAGCAAAGACCGGAGAAATAACGCGAATAATCGCGATAGCGTTACGAGCAATTTCAAACCAGAGAGATCGAAACGGAAAAAAGGGGAGAAATAATTAGAAGTGGGGTATAAACGATTGACACGACGATGGAATTTTTCTCTTCGCTGGATTTGTTCGGTTTCGCCTTCTCAAGAATCGATCTCGTCGACGTCGCTGGTTGATTAAATCAAATCCGACGGAAGTAGTTGTAAGTGGCGTAGAAACTACGTACAACGTGATTGAAAAAGTGCTAAAATAGCGATTGGCTTTTTCCTATGGTTCGCTCTTTTTTTTTTTCACACCCCCTCTCCTCTTCCCTTTCGCTCTCGTTCACACGCTCCTCTTTTTCTTTCCTCTCTTTCGTACATGTACATACACACACACATTTATTTCTCACTCACGCGTTCTCTCTCTAGTGTCCCTAACTTCCTCTTTGTTTGTCTTTCTTCCTACATCTCTTGTCACTCGCTCTCGATTACGGCTTAATTATTACAAAGATGGTTGTACAATAATATAATATAGACTCTGTATTAGTTACAATAATATCGTAGCGTTTTACACGTCACGTCCGGCCCTCAATCTGTCGTCATTAATCGCGAAAATCCGGAACTAATTAACCGAGTTCCTTCATCGAATTAACGTGTGTTCGCGCTTCTCTTATATAAGCACAACATTCCTCCTCCTCGTTATCACCATTTTCTCGAGCGTGCTGCTGCCGCGTATATGTGTCTGCGTGTGTATATCTTTGTATATATGTTCGTGTATTTTTATTGCTTATTGCTTAACATTAATGTGCACGTCAAACGGATGTCGCCGAAGAAATGTCGCCCGCGCACAATCAAAAGCCGATGCTTTCAACGGGCAAAGAAACTTTTCGCGTCGAAAATCACTGCGCATTCAACGTTAAAGATATCGCGCGCGATTTTTATTCTCGGCGAATAAAATTCAGAAATCAATAGGCGATCCTCTCGGCGACCCCTCTCGACGCATTAATAACGAAAAATGTGGCGAGCCGTGAGTCCACCTCCCCGAGGAAGAGTGACCATAGGTGACATCCGAAAACGGAGTTTCATCTCTCGCGTTTAATATTCTCTCTCGACCTCTCCATAGATGTATAAAATTACCCACTCACGATCGCGATTCGATGAAATAACACATTTTGTTCCTTATCGGTTAAAGAACTTTCCGTGCCGACATATTTTATTTAAGGGTCGCTATCCCCACTATCGCTTATTCCCATTTATCACTTCTAATTAACTGCTCTCGCTCTCGGTTGACTCGTCCTTGCCGAGGGACCGGCGACTCACCGACCATCATATTCCCTTCATCTTTCCTCGCGTTATTTCGCGAGGACATGCGAAAGTTCACTCGATCCATCGTAGAACGACAGCGTGACGCTCGCCGCGATTATTACATGTAATTTATCGATATAATTATTACGCGTATCGTCAATTAATCGGTATTTATTGAGAGGGTACATGCCCGAGAATGAGCAAAGAAATGAGCATTCGCCCGGCGAAGAAAATATTTACCGAGTAGATGCTCCTTCGCCTTTTTGCACTTGTCGAGGCTATATATAGTTTTTCATATATATATATATATATATATATATATATATATATATATATATACAGGGTGTCCCAAAAAGATCGGAACACTGAACTCTCTGTAAAACGTATATTTTTCGAGATTTTTCAGTGTTCCGATTTTTTTGGGCCACTCTGTATATATATATATATATATATATATATATATAATAATCCTTGCTTTTATCTCCGTTTTAAAAAGTAATTCGATCGTTTGTTATGTTTCACCGGCAAGAAACGACAGGACAGGATCGCATCCTACAAAGTCCTTCGTTCTCGATCGAGATCCGCGTCGATCCGTCACGATACCGATCTCGTGATATGGTCTAACCATAAAAATTGCTTAATAATTTCGTTAATTTCTTCGCCCAATCTTAGTGCCTACGCGCTACATCCAGTAAAAAAATCTACTTGTCGAGGAAAACTCGCCCTCGAGCTTTTCCTTCTTCGCGCACTAAAAGAGCCCGCTGGAAATTCAACTAATTTTCACTGATTTCGTGGGATCTCTTCCCGTCGACTCTTCGCGAGATGATATCCATCGTATCCTTCCTTTTTCCGTTTCACTGCTTTTATCCGTTTCGTTTTCCGTCGACGACGCGAGAATGTCACTTCGAACGCGAGTTTCTCCCGACAGCTAGAAACTAACAGGAGCCACAAACACGATTGTCTAAATCGGTCAATGGCTATTCTTACTTCCCGCATCTTTCTCGTTTGCGGTTTAAAATCGCACTGTCTTTTTTTTAATTTTTTTCTTTTTTCATAGATTGACCCAGGCATTCGTTCGATCGCGTCGCGTCGCGTCATGGCCGATCACTATGTCGCGAATATCTCTTACAACTATCACCGAGCGTTCGATATCGCTGTCGAATCCGATTTTTAACTGATTTGAATTAATTGTCGCGCTTTCGATTAGAATCACCTGAATATCACGGCAGTCACCGTCAGCAGAACGATCGTCAGGTACGTCGATCGGCCGATCCTTCCACCATTCGTTTCCATGCATTGACCTGCAATGATAGGAGGTGACGAATTTTTATCACCACGGGGTACGTAATTTCGTCTACGTGCAGGAAAAAAGCGATATGTCTAGGCTTGATCAAGCAGCAATCATTTTATATAGTCAACGGGTAATATTCTTCTCTTTTTCTCGAAAATATATGTATATATTAATAAACACACTTTGGAAAAATATAAATAAAAATTTCCTCTGGCTAAAATTTCATTAATTATTTTTTTTTCGAAACCATCATAATTATATAAATATTACAATACACGGTTTAAATTTTTTTTAGGAAAGACTCCATATTTATGAAATAAAACTAGAAATCAAAACCGCGATAAAATGAACACGGTAATTAATATACACGGATAATATATCTATCATATTTAACCGTTATTTCACGCATATATATGAGATAGCCCTAGGTCTAGCGACGCATAATTCAGCGTTTATCAACGCGCTGTCGCAGTCTGTTTGTCACAGAGAGCTACGCAAATGTCGCGCTAGATTATATACGCGGCTGTCACGCACCCTCTCGCGACGAGATTTCGTGCGACGCAACGGATGACAATCGCTGACTCTGCGATTTCGATTGGATGGCGCAGCCTCCATGTCACGGGCAAGTTATTGGAGTACGTTGAACGTTTTGCGGAAAGACGGAAAATTCGTACAAAGCTCAATCTTAGGAGAACACGTCGTCTTGTCCCATATATTTATGAAATATTGATTTTTGTTACGATATTTATTATTTACATATTCAGAAGCTTGTCTTGAACGCACTGTCTTATTTCTTTCTTCTTGGCAATCCGTAAATAAAATTTATGAAGTGAATATTTATGAAATAAATTTTGAATAGAATTCAAGAAAATTTTACGGAACAAAACGTAGAAAAAATGATTATATAGACAACGATATTATAAAATTCATCGAGAAAAATTATTCCCCAAATGCTACTATTAAAGTTGTATTGCGGTAACGTGTACATAATTTTTAAGAAAAATGCTAAATAAGATTTTTAAAATAAAATTTGCACATTATTTTGATATAGCAATCGAATTTCATGTTATTCAAAGTATTGACGAGAAATGAGAAATCTTCGAATTACGGCAAATTACTACTAATGTAACAGATTTGACGTATTGCGCGCGTATATTGTATCCGTTCTTGATTTCCGCATATTAACACTAATCCGAGATGAAATGGCGCAAGGACGGGAAGCGAGAGGGTTGACGAAGGTTGCCACTTACCGGTGCTGGTAGCGTTGAAGGCCAACATCGGCGTGGGCGGCGGGATGCCCCTCTGACACGCTATGGGACTGGCAGTCAAACTGACAACTCCGCCGCTCTCTTTGTACATGAAGCACAGTCTACGGCTGTTTCTGTAGGGCTGCGCTCTATTGTTGCTCTCGCTGTTCGACCACGCTGTTCTGCGCGCCAACGGAGTGGCGATCACGAACTGCGTGCCCTCGGCGTCGAACCATCTACCGTGGCAAGAGTAAGCTGGAAGGCAAAGCGAGAGAGAGGCTGGCTAGAGAGATCTTGGCGAAACGCGTGGAACGGGAAGGAAGAGTGGGCTTGGTTTGAGAAAGTTTCGGGATAATAACGGCCCGGGCGTCTCGACGGCCGTTACCCTTCGAGTGCCATTATTCCCCCGAAATAAACTTCGAGGCGATGTCGAGGGTCGAGAGAATATCAACGAGAAACCTCTAGTCTATATGAAGGAGGAGGGAACCGGACGTGCCTCGCGGTTCTTTTAAATGTTTCGTTCTTTACGTTAACGAAAAAAGAGGCGAATTCTCTAACACTATTTCGGTATATAAGGTCCGCGTCGCTTAATATCGTCGTTTTCACGCCGGAGACTCGAATTTTGTCATGTCCTTGTTCACAGCTAATATTTTGTAAGCGCGATAAATGTTGTGTCGTGTCTTTAGCGAGCTACACTGCTAACATTTACTTAATTAATATTAGCTACGCAAATTCTCGCAGAGGGAGCTTTTTATGACTCTATATATATATATATATATATATATATATATATATATTTGATGAACGGTTCTTATCTCTTTTTGTGTACTCAAGACAAGAGAGAAAGAGGCGCACGAGTGTTAATCTTTTCTTATTCTAATATGAAAAAACCGGCAGAAGCGAGAGACACGTCGCTTATCTATGCGAGTAACTCTTGTGCTCATCAATCATATTCTTTATAGAGAGACATTCAATCGATATTAAATATAAAATTAAATGAAATTGTGAGTAAAAGATAGCTGTGTAAAATTTTTTTAAGGATTATTGGAGCATTTTTCAATATATAAACTCTTTTAAATTTATCAAGCAATTTTATAAATTTTGACTCTACGATCTTTCTGCTCGAGATCTGAAATTAATTATTTTTATAAAAAAAAGGAATAAGAGTGACAGTTTATATGTGATTAAACAAACATCTCTTGGAAAATAAACAATATAGAGGTACGAAAAGATAGTAAAACTTGATTTTTTTACGAGATTTATGCCAGAGTAAAAAATCGGCTTTGATCAACGGTTTCTGTAACATTAAAAAGACGCTCTTTAGCTACGTCGAATTCTCTACGCTCAAGATGCCTTGAAAAAATAATCCTACCTCACTCAAGGGGGCCAGTGTTACGGCAACAAGGCTCTCGGTATGACGCGATAAAGAGGAAGAAAAGGCAGATAATTACCGGTGATAGCGTCGTCGACGCAGTCACTTTGAAACTCCATCCTGTCCGCCGTGGAGCAGCCCACGGTTAAGGTCGTCACCTCGGAGCTGCACCTCGACTCATCCTCGTTCCTCTTCTCTCTCCTTTCCGGAACGTTATCGTCCCTCTCACGTTCTTCGAGTTCCCTCTTCATCCTCAGAATATCCTTGTAGGTCATGTAACCTTTGTCCGACGCGGATCTCTTTCGCGGTGGACTTTCGGCTTCCAGATAATCCCCGAAATAATCGTCCTGCACCTGAAGCGAACTGGAGCTCCAGGCGTCTTCCGCGATCCAGAACCGTCCGAGAATATCCGCGTCGTTCGGCCGGAAGTCTTCTATCGGATCTCTTCTCGATCTGCTCATCCTATTTTTCGAGTCCGTCTCGTCCTTGACCTCTACACCTTCGCTACCACCGACCTTTGCGTCTTCAGTCTCGTGCGAGGTCTGTTGAGCGGCGCGAGATCTTCTTGTTTTGGAACGCGAGTGCGAGACACGCTCCCGGAAGGTATCCTCCAACTCGGAGGATCTCCTCGACAAGGTGGCGGCGACTTCTTCTAGGCTGTAGTCTTTGTGACCTCGATTGCCGCGATTCGAGCGCGCTCGCCGACCCATTCTCTCGTGGACTAAGTACTCGTTGTTGGCCCGTCTCTTCTCCACCTCGTAATCCAGCTTGCGGCCCCGACGGTCCTCGTTTCTCTCTTGAGCGTGTCGCACTTTTTCGCCGTCGTGACGGATGGGCAGGGACTCTTGCTGGTGCTGGCTTCTGCGACTCTCGCGCGTATTCCGTAGATTCCTATTCACGTCTGTCACCGTGAACTTGCCCAAGTATGGACAAGTGCGCGGCTCCGGAGAACTCGCTGTAACAAGAAAAACAAAGTCGAACGTTACGATTCCGTCTTCGAGGAGACATGAACCAAAATAAAGTATAAAATTCCACGAAATTATTACAAGCTCGCATATATATATATATATATATATATATATATATATTGCAAAATCCACACGATCAGCTGATGCTCCGAATATTAATAAAATTACTTTCTAATTTCTAGTATCTTGTACAATATTTAATTGTATCGACTGCGATTTTTAAAAAATAATTACAAGCAAATTTTAAAATTTAAAAAATTTTTAAGTATTTGAATGTGTAGCGTAAATAAGTATTATAATAATATGTATGATATTGTGTGTCCTGAAAATGATATACACATATTGTGGTTAAAGAATACAAATATATATAATAAATTTGCAGTATTATATTAATGATATAAAGTATCACAATTTCTTCATGAAACATTAATATAACACTCTCATATAATCGCGATGTACGATTGTATTTTATATTTACAATAAAGCAATTTAATTTAACACGTGAGATACGTAAATAGTAAAAAATAGTGACACAATAAATGCATAAAAATGTATAAACATTTATCACAGATGTGAAACGATACTTTTTATCACTCAAACACAGACCGGTGAAAAATTTGTTGTACGAATGATACAAACTACAAATCCGCGTATATGATATATATTACACGCGTGGTGACGGTATTATTTTATTAAAAGTTATCTATACGCATAAATACTAATAGACGCAAATGGCATCGTGGATAAAAAGAGTCGCTGTAAATTAATGATCTTATCTACGAAAGTAAAGTACCGATATGCCCGTAATTTCTACGGCCTAAGAAGAAACTTTGAAGTTGAGTCTTAAACGGAATTTTAAATGCCGTAACTTTAGAAGTTGAGACAAGAAGCTCGGCGAAGGTTATCGATCCCTGCTAATGATACTTTCTTGTTAGTGAGAAAGTACGGTATATTTAACCTGAGAGAAAAAAAAGTTCCGAAAAGAGCCACGGATGTCCGATTCTATATTCACATAATCATATTATATCGTATTTTAAAATAGTTGAAAATATTATATGCATGTAAGAGTTTGAAATTTTTTATAGAACTTGTGCTAGACATTTTTCCGAAACAGTTAAATTAAAATAGTTATACAGTTTGTTACATATACGACTAGAGAGAGTTCTCAAAAAGAGAGTAATTATTCTTCTCTCTCTCAAATCTTTTACAAAATTTTATATTAGATTTTTAAACTTTATTATAAACTTTATATGCTATTAGAGAGAGTTATAATTATTTCTTCTTAAAATTTATATATCCAATTTACCAATATTCCTCTATTTTCCATCTTTCCACTTTTCTCTTTACATACATACTATAATATATGTGACACAGTAAATATCGTGCCAATCACTCGCAAACAAGAGAAACGCATTGTGGTCTTAATGGAAGCTCGTTAGATCGTAGAAAAGGAGAATAAAGAGGCCAAGAGTCTCTGGGAGTCCCGAGAAAGCAACGGAAGACGGCGAATGGCTATAACGAGAGAGAACGTAAATCGACCATAGGCAGGCACAATGCGAACTCTAATGAGACTAAATCTGACGACGCACCCTCGACTCAAGGGTGCCACCCTCCCTTAGCCCGCTGAGCTGTGCATTATCGTTTTATCTCGATACCGAGTCTTCGAAACTCGTAGACTAACGATCACGAGAGTTTCGTTCGCCTTCTTTTACATTTTACGTATACAACACGGATAAATTGAAAGCACGCGGATACACGATGTTTACGGAAAAAGAGGGGAGAAGAAAGGCATATCGATTATCCCGTAGAGAAAATACGAAGGGCTTAATTGCTATTTCGGAAGAGTTAAAAAAGCTCGGGCAAAGGGATTCGGAAAAATTTACATTTACTTGCTCCTAATTAGAAAGTAAGATTTGGTTAAAAAAGTAACAGGATCTCACTTTCTAATTAAGTTCTCAGGAAGATTCGATTTAACAACATTACTATTCTATTTTTATTTATTCGTTAATTTATTATATTGGAAAACATGAAAATATTTAGAAAGGATTGCAGGGAAATTCACGTGTGAACGGAGAATTCAGATTAATTGTTTATTAGAGATTGATTTAATTCTCTTGTGTGTTTTTGACAAAGGGATAAACTGTCGTTTATATTTTTACGCTGTTGTTTCATTTTGCATTCGTAAATTTTATAAGTCAAATCTCGACGGTAGTTTGCGACGATATCGCCAAAATCTCGTTATTTTTACGGTTAATTAGACACGATTTTATCGCAACGCAAAAGCGATGTTCGGTCTCGGCAAAGGAGACTTGATTTTTCCGACTCGTTAAGCGATTCCCGGTACGAAGGACCTGCCTAAAAGGACGGTACGCTAAGGGCGAGTGGCTCTCGGAAAGTGGAAACAGGGAGTCGGTCCCTTTGGTCCATCTCGATTCCTTTTTACTCGATCGAACGAACGAGTCGCGAATTTATGCCGATCGTTATTGTTGCTTTCGTACGTCAGAATATCATGAATATCATGAATTTTCCGATAATGAAGAATTTACAGTTTATACAGACTTTTAACTCGCGAGCGCTCTTAACTTTGACAGATTATCATAATATTAATAATAATAATAATAATATAAATAATAATAATGATTAAAAATGTTGTTCCGATATATTGCAACTCATAAAGATAAGTACTGTAATGAATACATTATTCGATAGCTCTTCATCATTATATACGATAGCTCTTTATTTTATGAATTATTTTATATTTTGCGTAAAATTGATCCGCTTTTACGACGTGTTTTTGAAATAATAGCTTGTCGCAAATTAGGGATACATAAAGGGATGCATCATCCCTTATCTCAATGCGCTAATCTGTTCTGAAAAGCACGCAACAATCAAGTTTCACAGAGGTTGTCTTTAGGGATTAGCCATGGACTAAACTTTGCGTGTTTATAAAAACATGACAGTTTTTAAAAGTTCTTACAGTCTTGTTGTATTAAAAAGAAAAAAGAGATAGAGGTTCACTTCAGTTCTTCATATATATTGTACCATAAGGTATAGAAATCGTAAAAAGTGTGCATGCGGTAGATTAATATATTTTTAACATTGTTAATGAAAGAGATACGAATAAATTTTTGCACGTTCTCATTAAATTAAAAAAAAAAAAAAAAAAAGAAATTAATCGACAACAGATGTAATTGTATTTTTTTGCGCGTCTCACAAATCACTCTGTTCGTCGTCACAAACGATATACGATATTTATATCCCGCGGCGGAAATACTTATTGGCAACAAATCGCGCTCTCGATTAATCGATAACAACCGCGAGCGTTAAATTACCCGGCGCAGCTTTCCAACTCTCGCTAACTTGAAGTGAACTAGCTATCCGATCCGCTTTCGAAATGAAGAAAATCACGGAATTAATCACGACAATTACCCGTACTGTCTCGGCAAAGGAGGGAGATCAGGTTCACGACCTCACTCGCATTTCCTTAACAGGCCTTGCTAAATTTACGTGATATCGCAACTCGAGCAAACTAATAGAAATTAAATCAACGTAACTTCAAACATCGCAAACACTTGCGTACCATTTCGATCTTTTAAATCGTACAAATTTATATTTCTAAAGATGTTAACGATTCAGTTGGCGAATTGCTTGTTAATTAAAAAAATTAAAAAATTGTGTATTGTTTTTTTTCATTTGTAATTTAATTAAAATCTGAAATAATTTCCATTTTTAGAATATTTATTTAAAATATTTTATAGATTTGTTTCATGATTCATATATATAACTTGCAAAAATATTTGGAAAATTGAAAATTAACCCGATTTATTTAGCGTCCAGCATTTAGCGGAATATTCGATTAAGATTAAAGATCGTAAGGAGTGTGAAAAGCTCAAAATGAATTACAATAGAGCGACTTTTTTATTAGCTGAAGGGAAGACCATGTAATAAGAGGTTGGTTGCGAATTTGTCATAACATTAACTTCCCGTCCCGAGCCTGATGTCTTATTATAGAACGGTACTTTTAATCGAAATCCCCGTAGGCGAACCGATGCCGATTAGTCACCGTGGCATTATCCTGTCACATCGAGCGAGTCCGCGTCATTCCCTGGCGAAGCGTGCTTCTTGACACGGCAGTTCCAAGTTTTTAATTAATCGGTCGAGTGCTGTGCCTCCCTCGATTTTGTGCTCTCTGCACCCCTCATCTTTGCGTAGACCCTTTTCAGGAAACGAAACGCCCTAACGATCGATCTCTAGGCCGAGGGAAACGGATCGGAAATTTCGCCCCGTTATCGCGTGCTTCGTTTGCCTCGTCATATCTCCAAGTTCGTGAGTTTTATTCGTTTTGCATCATCATGCGACAACGAGAATGACGTAACCGAGCGGGTTTTTGTAATCGCGTGATCGTATAAATAGATTTAACACTTTACTTTTAATAATAATAATATATGAATTTTAAATCGGCCAATAGAGCCCAAGCGCGAAAAATTAATTCTTCGGAACTGTATCTCTCGGTTTGAGATTACTAAGTTCCATATATAAATTAATCTCGAACTTACATATGGAGAAAAATATATTATTATTATTATTATTAATATTGAGAGCCGACATATATTTCTTATCTGACTCTACTTTTAATTACAGACGTTATTGCCTATTTTTTAAACAGCAACACAAATTGCGAAACACGAAATTATTTCGAGTTTTCGTTGCTTCTTTCATTTAAACTTTCCGTCTTTTCTTCCGACCGCAAATGCAATTTTGCACCGTATCGAGATGACTGAAGCTTTCATTTCTTATCCAAGAACGAATGTCACTTCGTTTGCTAAACAAAGTGGCATATTTCATTATACTTCGGAAGGGGTTGAATCGTCAAACCGCTGCTTTGCTTGCTTATCGTCGTCAGAAGTTAAATCGAATGTATCGAATGAGCGGAAGTTTGTAAATAAGAAAACAACCCGCACAACTCTTGTCTTCTCCCACTGTTGGC